GGAGAACATGAAAACTCCACACAGAAAGACCCCAGGCCCAAACAGAGAATTGAACCCAGGATTTTCTTGCTTAGAGGCAACTGTGCTAACCATTGTGCTGCCGTAAGCATTTAGCTACAAGCACAAGGGACACTCTGGGGCCCTTGTATGTTTGCTTCCAGGGACAGTCTAGTGAATTTTTTGTACTGCCTTTTCTGAATTTGAAGGTGAATTATCATTATTATTATTATTATTATTGGGGGAGTAGTGGCACAGAGGTTAGAGAAAGTGGGCCTGTGATTGGAAGATCGCCAGTTCAACTCCCGGTACCAACAACTTTAAATTGTGGGTGGGATAGGTGAAGCATCAAAGTCTGCCTCCACCCTCATTTGCTCCACTCTGGGCCCTTGAGCAAGGCACTTAACCCCAACCATCTGCTCCCCCAGAGGCCCTAGATAGCAGCTCTCTGCTCCACACAGAGGGCTGCGGTAGCTCGGTGATCTGTGGTTGTGTCAGGAAGGATATCCGGCATAAAAATAACTGCCAGTTCTTCGTGCAACTTAGTTCACTGTGGCGACCCCCTGAAGAAGGGAGCAGCCGAAAGAAGAATTATTATTATTTGCCAATGTCTGCACAAGTTAGTTTGTTGTGTTAACAAAATATTTCATGAAACAGTGGGCACATTTAAATGAAACTCTCAAAAATTAATAATCAGATACACATTTATAACTATGCATTTAACTTTTAGAGTCAACAAAATTCAAGATGGTGCCCTTAAGCCACATAAACAAACACAAAAATGGCTAAAACTCAGCCAGTTTTATAGAACATGAGCTGAAATTCAGCGTGTTAGTGGCTGAGAGACCTTCTATACATTCTCTGAGCACTGATTGTGCAAGATCCATTTTTAAAAACATTGTCAGTAACTATTCAAGTCAAGGCAAATGTGTGTTAGCAAAATATTCATGAATTACTGGACATTTTAGTGAAACTCTCAGAACATAACTCGTACATTTTTAGGACTAATTCTTATTAAAATTGCAGCCACAGCTAAAAAATGTTAGCCAACACAACTGTGGCTAAAACTTAGACATTTAGCTAAAATGTGGTGTGCAGCAGCTGAGTTTTAACAGATCATCCAAGACCTCACTTTATTGCATGAAATTGTGAATAATGTCATTGATTTAAACAGATATAACTCCATTCCCTGTCATAAAATATTTTAGAATAAAATGACCTCCAAGGAATACTACATTATTCAACATCTAGTCTAAATAAGTCTTGAGGACATTTTTTTTTTATCCTAAAGCATGTATTGTTGCCTTTCCCCCCTAAAATAAAATCTCAACATCTCTGTAATGTTTACTAAATTATGTCATATTGTAATTGATCTGTCATCAAGCAGACATGTAAAGGATGAAGATACAGTTGTCATTCATTGTCAAATGATCCATAGAAACATCAGCATTTCTTTCATAAGTACATGCAGTAGTTCAAATATGCTGATTTAGCAAATAACCTGACAGGTGATGGGTAAAAACTCTCTACAAGAGCTGTGAGGAGGTCCCAGTTGTTAGTTTTTGCTGAACTAAAGCAATTTTGGGGGACACCACAGCTATACTGCCTGTCTGCAAAGAGTGCATCACTCAACATATTTCATTAAGTGTCAATAAATTTGTCAGTGCCACCAGAGTGCTGACTGCTTGCAGGAATGTATCACACAATATAGGAAAATCTGCTGTGCATTACATTTTGTTTGTAGATTGTTTTATTTTTATTTTTTGTAACACTAGAAAAAGGAAGACTGTAGAATAGGAATTCTGCAGAGTACAGAAAAAAATACACATTTGCATCCATCCATTTGTCCATAATTCAATTTTTTTTTGAAAAGGTATAATTTTCCTTTCCTTGAAATGTTTCATAAAGTGACTGTGCTTTGGGCAAGCTCTTAATCCACTATCTCTGTTTCTTAAACGGATTGGATTGTGATGCTTTGTTGCCACTTCATGCATTTCACTAATTAAATATCAGATTTGGAGAATACATGCTCACTTCTGAGATGCTGATGAATAAATATATCATTTAGTCTGTCATGACTCAAACAGTGAACAGCTATTTAAAAGTTTTGAGAATAGCATTATAAAAAGAAAATATTTTCTAATAAATCCCCGTCCAATTAATCGTGTTAATAATTTGCAGTTATACTTATGTATCAGTTTTATATGTGTCTGTTTTAAAACATGCATTTTCTTGACTGAATTATAAAGGTGAAACCTGTGGGATGTGAAAGGAAATAAAAGTGAGTTTTTACAGCAGCTGACATGCAACATCTTATAAATACTAATTTGCTCATTTGTTTTCTATTCACAGTGTTTTTTGATTGATCAACCATAACCGACGGTTAAGTTTAATACTTAATCTGATGCAGCATTCATGACAATATAACACATAAAAGTCACTCAGAACAAAACAAAACAAAAAAATAATCAGAAATTCATGCAGAAGAATTATTCACCATGTTGGAAAGAACAACTTCCAAACAGCTTTATCAGCAGACTCAAAGTTCAAATAACTAAGAAACTTACCACTTTATTTATTTGGCCCATTTAGTGATAATTTTCTCCATTTCCATACACAAATTAATAATTTGGATGAATCACAACTTTTATTACAAAGCTGATTTAGAAAGATCACATCAAGCCAAAAGGCAAAAAAGGGATATTTTTTCTATTTAAATCTCAATAAAAACAAGAAGAAAAAAATCAATACAGTTTGTTTACCAGTTTGCACATCCAAAATAGGATCTTGTAAGTCATTTTTTAAAATAAGATTTTCAATAAATTTAACAAACTCTTAAAGAAACTGTTTTAATTCCATGTGTTTATGAGTCTAAAGGAAAAATAAATTCTGAGGCTCATTCTAGAAAATGTCTAAAATCTATTCCACAAAACAATTACTGTACATTTGTAAAGTTAATGCATTGTGTCAGATGTTGCAGGATTCAGAACAAAGATCTAAATCCAGCCGAGGCTGAACTCCTCAGGTCTTTTGTTAATAACTCAAGGGACATATTTCATATAAGGTGCTCTTTGCACAAACAGGAGAATGATCATAAATCTACTGAAGTCATTGCGTCAAGGTCATAGTTAAATGCAACAAACCTAAAACGTCCCTGAGATGCCTCATTAAAACATTCCACAAACACTCTGCTGTGTGAACATAAATATGTACCACGTGCCATCAAAAGCAAAAGGGTGATAATGTTTTTTTTTTTTCCTGAGTCAGTGGGTGCTTGTTTGTCTGTACTATTATACATCATAATATCAACATTTCCAGAATTACTGAATGGATTTTATTGCATCATTTAGAAATAAGTGGTTAAGTTGAGGTGTAGAAATGATTACATTTTGAACTCAACACATTTAAGATGGCTGCCACAGCTGAGCAACCTCTGCAAATTCACAAATGGATCTAACTCAATCAGTTTTACAGATAATGAGTTAAAATTTAGCGTGGTAGTAGATGAGGATCCTCCCCAGAGCACAATTTAAGCACAGTCATGAGTGACATTGTCTAAAACTTCAGCATTAACTGTTGGAGTCAATCAATCATGTTTGGTTCTTAAAAAATCTCTCTTCAACCACTGGACAGACTCCATAGAAACTCTCAGAAACTAATTACTGGGTGATCTTACATCTTACAGATGTGCTAAATTTGGTGTGGTATAGCTGACGATTATCCACAACACATGCTCAGAGGGCTCAAAGGTCATGCAAGATGTTGCAATATTGCATTACATTGCAAATATTATGATAACTGGGGGTTTGCCCACTTTCATTTCCTGTCATAAATTGATCTTTGTCAAAACTCTGGCATGAAAGACAGCAGACAAGATGAATTTAACAAATGCAAGATATTTAATAAATTAATTATTAATCATCTTTACAAACCGATCACATTGAGGAGGTGATACTTGGAAATCAAAATAGTGTTCTATTGCTGTAGTTTTGAAATATGTCATTCATTTGACATATTCTTAATGTTTAATATGTTACCATTTAATATCAATAAATACCTTTTTCCTCAACTTTTAACAGTTTGTCTGCTGTCAGGGAAACAATGTAATATTAAAAGTTGCTTTAAATGACTGTATGTTGGTGAACATTTATTTGAACTTAATCGGTATTTGGTCAATTCTGTAAATGTTTGATCTAAAGAGTTTTTACTATTATACATACATACATACATAAATATATATATATATATATATATAAAAGGCAAAAAGCTGTCACTCCCTGAAACACTGATAAGCCTTTTGC